TGGGACCTTCACATATCTGGTTTTCATAATGCATTTTTTTCATGCCATATTCCCAAATGATCAAATCACAGTGTTTGTGGAAATCATTATGTGTTTGTATGCGCAGATCTTCACAGAAGATGAAAATTCATTTGCATCTGCAATTCAGCAGACAGCGATTGCAAACCTTATTTTGTGTGTGTTCCTTCATTAATGTGCAGATTATATTCTGACGGCCAAATCGTGTAAACTAATTGATTGAGGATATGTGAATGTAAACTACTTATGTAATTACTTTTATTTTTAGCAATTAGAAATTGACTAGTTAGAAATATGCTAATGTTGAAAAGTGTTCTATAAATATGATTGGGTTTATTAGATTAGTTATTTTATTATTTAAGGCTATAAGTGCTTTTTCTTCAATATTTTGCATCGTTTATACCTCATTCCCATTACGTAGAACTCCATCTTGTATTTAATACGACTGTCAGGTGCCTGTAGAACACGCAATCTTCTCATTAATAGGTGGAGCCTAACTGGTTTGAGTTTTTTTTGTTACATGTACAGAGTAGTCTTGCTGGACCTACTGAAAAAAATGCATGAAATCTATGAAGATCAGGCACTTAGTGTTGTGCAACCCCCCAAGAGGGGGGCTGGCCTCTCATTTCAGGAACCCCTGCCCTAAGGGACGGGTTAAGAGCACTTATTTCCACAATGTGGGACTATAAAGGGATATTTAATGTCCTTCCTAAAATGTTTGATTAGAGAAAGTATTTTATGAAGGTAGCTGACAAGCTATTTATGCGTAAACTGTCCATAAATCTTATCTTTACAAGAACTACACAACAATCTGTGTTCAGGTATTTTTTGTTTTTATATTCTTTAATTGGAGTTGCATGAGCATTAGGGAACAGCAGCCTATAGTGTAGATCAAATTTTAAAAAGGCCTATTCCTGGACCGTGTGTTGATCAGTCCCAGGACAGAGAAGGCACTGGCTGCTGCCGTCACCAGACTGATGGCCCCAATGGCCCGTGAAGCCTGCAGAGAAGAGAAACAGGATGTGGAGTCAAGAAAAGAAATAAAAAAAGACCACAGGATAGAAAAAGTTAATCAGTCATTATGTAATATGTTCAAAGTGTTAACAATGCTCTGATGGCACATTAGAAAAAAGCAAAGCAAACAGTCAGAGACCTGCTCCGAAACCCCCTCCCCGTAGCGCAGTAGGGTGACAAAGTGTTCACAGTTGCTCCCAAGCAGGTCATAGGACACCTCCTGGTCGATGAGGACTTGAGCTCGCTGGATGATCTCGTAGACAGGCAGAGGCGTGTGGTTGTCATCGTACTTGTTGTTGACTCGATACGAATCGTTTCCAACCACCTCCTTCAGCAGCTGCATGCGCACCACAGCCTTCCTGCTAAATACAGACTTGACGCTGGACATGGCTGCTGCCTGACTCTCATCTGTGTGAGACAGTTCTTGCTTAGGATCAAGACGAAATAATGGAAAAATCCTATTTGAAGTAAGACTTAGACAGATTTTATTTTGTGATTTTGTACACACAAGTGTAAGCAAAAAGAAATTTCTTTAAGTAAAGCTCTATAGACTATTTCATTTTTTAAAATGCAGTTATACATGCAGAGATAAAATAGTATCTCTTTAAGCTTAAAAAACAAATTAAAACAGTAGAATCAAATTGTGTCCTTTACCAACAGAGGTAGAGAAGGAAACATGGCATTGCTTTATACTGTTAGAGGACGGTTTAGCTTGGGATACAAGTTAAGATTAACAATAAACAGATGCAGTTTGTTTTGTTAAGGTTTACACTGCATTCATTTTCATCTCTATATATTAATACATATCAGGAAAGCCTTTTATCAGATTTCCCCCTCTAACTTTTTACCATCTCTGCACCAAACTTCTTTTTTGCAACATAGCTCAAATTCAGTCAAATAGTATGCAGAACTGTTGCACACAAAGTATCCCATCTTGCTGCATATCACTGTATTGTTTACTGTCTGTTTTCCTGTAGGAAGGGCAGCCTCTGCCCAAGTTTCTGCTTTTTTGTTGCCTGTGACGAGTTTTCTAGTGCACAAATTTATTGTTTTGCATCTACTTTAACAAGTTTATTGATTCTTGTGTTTGCTGTGTCCTACTCATGTGTTTTGTTCTTTTTACCTCCTTCACAAATAGGTGCCATGTTGACAGATTCTCCTACCTGAAGATTGCTGCAGTTCCTCCAGAGTTACCATGAGCCTGTTAGCTTCTTCTTTGATTATAACCCTTACCAGGCCT